TGCTGTCATCTGCCTGCTGGGAACTTGTGGCTGAGCTTGTGGTTGACTACCCAGACTTTGCTGGCTGGGTTTCTTTGCTCCAGCCTCCCTCCACTCGTGGATCTTTTCTTGCCTTTCCCAGGAGAGCTCCCCACCTCTAAATCCAGAGGCTCTGAAATTCCTGAGGGCATATTCTCGCTGTGGCCCTGGGATCAAGCCATGCAGACCACTCTCCCCAAGGCCTGCTGGAACAAAAGCAGGGGCAGACACAGAGGCTCCAGAGGCATGGGATGCTGAAACCAAGGTGAGTTGCACACTAGCTGCATCCATCCCAGGGGTTTCTGGCACTCATCTGTCCCTGGGGTTTCTGGCACTTACCCATTGCTCCTGCTTTGAACTCTTTGTGTGTTCTTCTAAAGTGTTGGGTCAGATGTGCTGTGTGAACAAGGAGGTCTGTAAGTACTCTTCGTGGCTGAAGGGAAGGAACAGGGTCTTGGTCACTGGGGTGGTGAGACAGGCGTTCAAGGGTTGCTGATACTACCCTCTGGCTTCATCCTTGTTCATAGTTAAAGAGATTGTAAAGTTCCCTTTGAAAATCCCACCTCCTCGCTGTAGAAGTGGCAGTGATGTCAAATCTGCTCTTCCTAGGGCTTTGCAGGAGGTCTTGGGGATTTGGAGACTGCTCCCACCTTAACCAAAGGAGCTGTGGCTTCTGGACGTTCGATAAAATGTTGGGAAATGGGTGTGCTTTTTAGTCAGGAGAGTTAAAGCAGTATTAACAGTTAAACCTTTCATGTAGTCTGTCTGCCAGGTCCTAAAGTGCTCCATGACTCATGTCTTCTTTCCTTGGCAAGCATGGGATTGTCCGTTTGTTGGTTCCCAAATGCCATGGAGTGACTTAATTTAAACAGGGCATTAACTCTTAAAGACAAAAACCAAGAAAACCTTAAAACTGAAATCCAGCGACCTTCTCCCTTCTCTTGACCACCAGAGGAGCTGTGATAGAGGGTGCTGTCTCTGGGGAAATGCCCCCAAGTACCTGCTAAATTCCAGCTCTGCCAAGGGTTTTCTGTTGCATTTACTGACCTAGCGAGGGCCCGACCAGTTTTTCCTCTGACCTTCTAGCTGCCCTGATGGGCTCAAAATGCACCAGTAGGAGCCACGTGGACTGTGTCAAGCCTGGTTCTTTCTGTCCTTCTGGCTTTGAGAGCATGAGGTCACCTTGGGGACCTTAAAAAGGCCAGTTTTAGGCTTGGCTTTTGGTGCCTGCCTTCTCAAACCATGGCTATAGCTCCTGCCTGTCTATGGCTCCACACCTGAGATGGGGTGGGCTGCGGGTGTGCCTGTCCTGCTGTAGTAGCCCTGCAATCCAGTGTCTTGTGCGGGTGCCTCTCTGCTTTGTCCCTTGTGTGTGTGTGCCAAGCTGGCCCTTGCTGCCTCCCTCTCTCTTCTTCCAGATCCAGGTGGAGGGCAAGAACATTGACTTCATTAAGCACAATGCCCGCAACGCCAAGCGGGCCCCGCTGCGGCGCTCCCAGTCCCTGCAGGCGCTGGCCGAGCTGCTGGAACAGAAGCACCGGGAGCAGGAGGAGTACAATGCCAAGCAAAAGGGCCATGTCCCCCAGTAGTACGTATGCCCCTCTCTGGTCCATGTGGCTTTCTGTAGCAAGCCCATTTCCCTTCACCACGTTCTCCCAGCTTCTGTGTGGAAAGACAGGGGGCTGAGGATAGAGGCGCTCTCGCCTTATGCAAGCAGTGTGATTTACTGGGGAATAAATGCAGTCCCTCCTGGTTTCTTGACTTAATGAGTGTGCCCAGTCTGGCTGGACTCAAAAAGAATTAAGAATTTTGTCTCCTCCTCCTGTGCTTGCTGTCATACAGTGATGCTGACGTGGGGATGCTCTGTGTGCTCTGAGAAATGTGCCCCTGCCCCTTTATAAGCCTTGCTCCACATGACGTAGCTTTGGTGTTAAAAGGTCTGGTTTTAGAGAGGCAGATAGCTTCCTCTGCTTCGTGAGCGTTCATCCTGCCTTGGACCCAGAGTCTGCAGAACATAAAACTGGTGACTCGCATCTTGGGGTTCCGAGTGGAAAACAGTTGCTGGGTGACCCTGTCCCAGGAGTGACTGTGGTGTCAGTCCTTTGGCTCTCTGCTGTTCTCTGCCAGCATCCCTGGCTGTGAGATGCTTTGTCCAACTTCATTCCATCACTGGCCCATGGATGGTTTTGAGAGGACTCAGTGGCCTGGGCCAGAAGCAAGGAGCAGAAGCCCTGGTCTCCAAGGAGTTCGTGTTGGCCTCAGTGTGTCTCTCCCAGCAGCCCTTCAGTGCACACAGAGCGTGTTTGCTAATCCGTGCACGTGGGCTGAAGCCACGTGTATCCCTCCACAGCAAGGACATGTGCTGGCAGTGTGGGTCTCTGTGGTCCTCAGGCAGTGACATGGAGACTAGCAGGGTTTGAAGGGCTCAATTCCTGGCCTCTGCCTGCATCCCTGGGTGACCGCTCCTGCCAGTTGTGCTGACACCTGCTTTCATTTGCCTTGCCAGCCTGCTGGAGAGGAAGGAGCTGTGGCGCAGACAGATGGAGGAGCGGCTGCGAAACCTGCCAGATCCCAACACGCCACCTGGTCATACCATGATGCCGGAGGCCCAGCGGCTGGAGACCCTCGGCAATCTGAAGCAGAGTAAGAGCTAAAAAACGGGGATTCCAGCTCAGAAAAACAGGTGATCCTAGCCAGGATTAGGGAGAAGAGAGTTCTGGGGCACAGATATCTGCCACTTGGAGAGTTGCCTGGAATAAGGTGTGTAGCTGGGATGTGAGCTGTGTGTGTGGAAAGAGCAATCACCTTCAGGTTGGTGAGACCTGCAGGTTACAAGATTGGCTCTCCAGAGCAGGCTTGTCCAGCAGACCTGCTGTTCGGATTACTATTGCTCTTAAAATGATCGAAAGATTTTGGTTGGAAGGGACATTCAGAGGTCTCTAGTCCAACACTTGGTTCCTCAGAGCTGGAGTAGGTCACTTAGGTCCTCACAGGGCTGAGCTTTGAGTAGAAGGCTGGGTGTTCTAAGTCCTTGTTCCAGAGCTGCCACCATTTTCATGACCGAGGGTGAGGTCATAGCGTTAGGAAAAGGATGGATTTCTTTGCCACTTACACAACTTGTTTGGGTTTTTTTGACAGGCCAGGAGCTGCTGGTAAGGGACCTGGTGATGCTGCCGGTGCGCGCAGACACCCTCAGCGTGCAGAAGAGGCGGGTAGAGCTAGAGGGGAAGCTCTCCCAGATAGAAGAGGCCATCAAAATTTTCTCGAGGCCCAAGGTCTTCATCAAGCTGGATTCCTGAGCCGGTAGGGCTGGGTGCGTTGTGCTGCTCTGCATGAACATCCTTCATTGCTGGGAAGGGACGATCATCACTTTGGGAGGAATGGAGAGGAAGGCAAGTTCAAGACCCTGGGCCCACGCAGGTGCCAATACGGTGTCCAATGTGCAGCCAGCATCTCGTGCTCACCCTCCAGTGCTCTGTCTTGTCCATGGAAGAGGGAGGGAGGTGCCCCAATATACTTCTGCTCTGTGGTCTGGAAAACAGTTGTCTCTGTGCTGTTTGACTTCTTAGAGTTCAGCTCCCTGCTCTGGATCCATGGCATCACCTCTTATTTTCCCATTTTTTCACACTTCTAGAAACTCGTAGGAGGTCTCCCATCCTGCTGCCTGTGGTGTTCCTTGTCCCCCTCTTTCTCCTGAGCTGGCTCTTTCTGGGCACCTGCAGACTTGTCTGCACAGAACCCTCATGCTGTACATCTGCCATGCATGCCCTGGTCCTGAGCACTGACCCATCCTGCTATGCAGCCAGTGCCACTGCACCCTCTGAGCTGGTGGCTGGGCTCAGCAGCTTGGGGACAACGAAGAGGTGCAGAGTTTTAGACCTTCCTGCCCAGGGAAGAACTGGGCTGGCTGCAGGGGCATCTGTCAGGATGTCTGGAGAAGCCTGTTTGTAGGGCAGGACATGCTCCAGTAAAGCATCATTTCCCTCCCTTAGTGTGTGGGCAGCTCCCGGAGGACTCAGCAGGGCCTGAGGAGTGGTGGTGGGCAGCAGAAACCAGCAGCAGTGACATAGTGCAGGCAGGGGGAAAGCTGTGGGTCCTCTTCCTGCTTTCTGCAGCATCCCGAAGTGGCTGGGGAGGTTCGGTTGCACAGTGCTGGGGTGCTGGGACGAGGTCATGGACTCGGAGTTGAGAATGTTTGAAGTCCTGCCAGATCTCAGTCCGTGTCCTGCTAGGCTTTTTCCCCTGAAGTCCCACCAAAACTTCACTTGTCGCAGCTCGTGCCTGTTGCCCCGTCTCCTTTTGCTGCTCAGGGTGGCGATGCTGTGCATGGTTGCCCAAAGCAGGTGCCTTGTGGCACGGGGTTACTCTATCCTGGGCGGGATTTTGCAGGATGGGGATGTTGCAGAGCGGTGCTCTGCGGTGCCCTGGGACGTCAGGGTCTGACAGTGCTGCCAAGGGCTGGGGAAACTTTTAGCACTTGAGGGCTGGAGGAGGTGAGATGCCAACTGGAAAAATCACCCCATGCTCCCCTGGGGCCCCTCTTGGGGTGAACAGGCTGAGCCGGCTGGATGACAGCAGGGCTGAGGGTAGCTGGAGGCAGCAGGCACCAGCCCCCGTGCACCTCCCTGCCCCAAACAAGTCTGGACTAACCAGCCGTGCTGTCTCCTTTGCTGTCTTGTCTGTCTGGGCCCAGGCTGTGTGCTGGGAGTGTCGCCCCGCTTGGGAGCCCCAGAGCTGCCAGCCTCAGCCCTCGGTCCTCTCCCAGGGCTGGGGCTCAGGACAGATAGTCAGAACATGAACAGTTGGTGCTGTCCCTTCAGACCCTGAGAGCTGCAGGTCCTCCTCCTCCTCACCCAGTCCCATCATGTGCCCTTGGCAGCAGTGCCGGCGTGAGGCCCCTGTGTTTGTCGAGCCCTTGGCAAATGGGTTGGCAGAGCTGGCGCAGTCAAGCCTTCAGCGCTAAACCAACCCAGCGGCTCCCATGCGGCTGCTGACGAGGTTTTGGCTACACCAGCACAGGTGCCTTGGGATGGGGAGCTCTGTGTGCTTTGATTGTCGGCGATCAGCAACAGGACGTAGCCCCCGTTCCCTGCAGAGGTGACCGGCTCTGCCACCGGATTTACGGGAGCCAGGCCAGGGCACCCAGCACCATCTGCACTTGGTTCCCACGGGGTTTAATCCGAGGGCTGTGGGAGAGCCCTTGTGCCGTGAAGGATCTGGCACCATGCTGGTGCCCTTGGTCCCCAAGTGGGCTGGAAAGGCACTGCCCTGAGGTGTGCCTTACCTGCCGGACCTTGTGCCTGGGCTGCTTCACCAGTGAATGTCACCAGTGGCCATGGCGGGTTGGGGCAGAGGTGTTGGCAGAAGATTGATGCTGCAGGAGGTGCGGCAAGAAGTGGTGATGGCTCCTGGGGACAGCCAGCCACCATCTGGCCAGGCCTGTTCCTAGGTAGGAGAGGACAGGAGGAGGAGAAGCTGTCACTGCTGTGGGGCCGACAGCGCCCACCAGCACCGCCCCGCTGGGGTGTTGCTCTGTCCTTCCCTGCGGGCAGGAAGGTGCTGGGCCAGGCCAGCAGCAAAACAGAGGCCAAAACCACCGGCAGCCCAGCACTTTGGTGCTGGGAGAGGGACGGAGGGCACTGGGAGCCCCAGGTGAGCAGGAGGGGTGGATATAGCCCCCTGAGCTCGGGGCTGGAGGAGGATGCCACCCCCAGCAGCATTTACTGGGGCTGAGTGACAGCCGAGGTGCTGCTGCCAGCCTGAGTGCCCCCTAGCTCGCTACAGATGTCACTGGGGTGTCCCCAGCATAGCAAGGGCACCGCAGCAGGGACAAGGTGGGAACCAGGGGGCTAGGCAAGGCTCATGGCATCAGGCCACCCTGCCAGGCTCGCTGCCCAAACCAGCCTGGACACACGATGTGGGACAGAGATGTGCAGGGGGAGGGATGCACCGCAGTGTCCCCCCAACGCCCCCATTCCTCCCCACAGTGGGCCTCACTGGGGTCGCCCAGCACAGCAGTGAAGCCATGACACATGTTGTGGTCAAAGGTGCCGCTCCTTGGCACTGCCTTGTGTGCACGGGGCCAGGGTCCCCACCCGCTGTCCCCCTCCTCCTGGGGGACCTGCAGAGCTTGTCGCAGGGCTCGTGCTGGCCCACAACAGGATGGGCCGTGGCATGTAGGACAGGTCAGTGGGGCTGGTGGGGGACATGCCTGCCCCATCCCACGGCACCAAGGCTGTTTGCTGTCCTGGAGAGGGCTGTGCCCTGCGGCTGTTGCGGTCCAGCCCCCGCAGTGATGTGAACCAGGGACGAGCGGGGTGCTTTCTAGAAAAGGTTTTACTGTCCATTGCAATATATTAATTGATGACGCATATTTTGATAAAACAATTTAAAAAACCCACTTGTTTGGAAGAAGGGGGCAGGAGGTGAGGGGGCTCAGAGGGGCAGTGCCCCCAGGGACACGGGTGGCAGGAGAGGGCAGTGGGCAGCCCCACTCCACCCCTGCCCACTGGCCCCATCATCGCCCTGGTGCCCACAACCAGCCTGGCTACACAGAAGCCCAGCCGGCCACCAAGGGTGGCACGGGACCCCACGGCTATAGGGTGAGGAGAGTGCTGTCCTCCTGCCTGCTGTCCCGGCCAGGGAGCTGCCGAGGGACTGCAGGGAGCCCCGCGAGCTGTGCGGGGACAGGCTCCGCTGGAGGGATCTGTCCGTGGGGCCTCCGTTGGGGTAACCCTCGGGGATGTAGTGGGGCACGCTGTCACTCTCGATGACCAGGTCACCCTCCTCATCACTCTCGGCCGTGCTGTAGTTGCTCAGGTACTGGGAGGCTGGGCTGGGGGTCTGCTGGCTAGGGGTGCTGTCCGTGGACATGCCCGAGCTGCCTGAGGCCTTGCTGCTGCGGATGACGTTGTTGCGCTGGTTGGCAGGCTTGACGGTGATGATGAGGTTGTGGCTGTTGGCCACCATCATGTCCGTCACCTGGTCCAGGGACTTGCCGGCCACGTCAATGCCGTTGACCTCCAGGATCTCGTCGCTCACTGCCAGCAGCCCCGTGCTCTCAGCCAAGCCACCTTTTACCAGGCGGGAGATGAAGATGCCAGGCACCTTCTCAACGCCCTGTGGGGCCACACGCACGCTGATGCCATCACGGATGTAGAAGCCCAGCGGCTTGTCGGAGCCGTGCTTGTGGAGCCGCACGCGGCGGTGAGTCTCGGGCAGGATGTCCACGTCGATGATGGAGGAGATCTGGCGGAAGTCCTGCGGCATGCCGATGAGGAGGTGAGGCTTGGCCCGGTAGTGTGCGGGGCGCAGCAGCCCTTTCTTCTTCCGCTGCAACGAGTTCGAAGTGAAGACACCAGCATCAGACTCTGCTGTAGGAAGCAAGGGAGGACACGAGTCAATCACCACAGCTGTCCAGGGATGCAACCGTGTTCTCCCGGCCCCAGGTGTTAGGGGAGCTGGCAGGAGAAGTGCTCTGCTCATGGGTCTCACCAGATTTTCCTCCCCAGAGCATCATCCTGGCTTTTCCAGCAGCCTGTCTCCGCCGGGCCCATCTCCTGGGATTACCCAGCATACACAAGGCCAGGATTAGTGGGATCCAGGCAGTGATTCAGCCTTAATCACACTTTAATCCAAACTCTGCAGTTTAACACTAGAGCTGCCAGCCCTGATGGCCCAGGAGCCACGGCCATGCCCCAGTTTGGGTTTGAGGAGAGGGAACCCCCCCCATGCGGGGGGGTGGTGTGGTGGCAGGCAGGTCCTTGAGAGCAAGTCCAGCCCTGTGAGACAGCACCAGAGTCCCTTGTCCCCACTGGAGCAGGGCCGTCGCTGGCACAGGATGAGGATGGCCACAGCTGTGTCCTGAGGAGCCCTGCCGTCCCCAAGGATGGAGACCCTCCAGCTCCTGGAGACCCATTCCAGGGCCGCAGCGTCCCCAGGGCTCCTGAACGCCCCAAACTCTGATTTGTGCCACTATCTCGTATTCCACCATTTGGCACCACCACACAGGGTTTGACTCCGTCCTCCTTGACCCTGCCCTGGGGCTGCTCCGTGGGGCCCAGCTCTGTCACGTCCCCTCCTTGGCTGCATCCACTGGGTGTTGGGGAGCATCGAGCATCCCCTGGGCCTTCTCTGGTTTCTCCCCAACCCTTTCCATGGGGGAGCCCAGATCAGGACGCTGCATTGCTGGCGCATTTCCCACCATGCTCCCCTGCCAGCACCCAGACCCTGCTCCAGCCGCAGGGGTGCTGGAGACGCCTCCAGGTCCAGGGGACGCGGGGTTTCTCCCTGGCCAAGCCAGCCTGCCGGCACTCTTGGGTTATAAATATCTCCCTGCACACACAGCCTGACGTATTTTTAGCTCAGGGAAGGGCGGTGGAGGCTTTCCCACAGCTATTTCACTGCACAGCTCGTCTCTGAGGGGCGCAGAGTGGCTGGGCCAGGCAGGTCCAGCACCCTATGGACAAGCCCACCAGCGGCCCTGGCAATGTGCTGAGCTTTCCCCTGCCCTTCCCGTGAGCCAAGCCCAGCTGAGGAGGGCCAGCACCACTATCCCCAGCAAGGCTGCCCCATGGGGACGGCTTCATGCAATGGGGCGATGGCACAAAGAACCAAGCTGCAGCCTTTGCTTTTTGACCCCCTGTGGTAGGACTGGCTGCTGTGGAGCCAGCCCACTGACAGGTGCACACCTATGTACACATGCATGTGAACGGCTCCCCACGCCCCGGCGTGGGAGAGAGGCTCTGCAGCCACATTCCTCGCTGACCCAGACTGGTTCGAAGACGGCCCAGCCCCAGGATGACCTGGATCCATTTTAAATCAGCTGTGACTCACCCAGGGCTTGTTCCTGGCCTCTCCACATGCCTCCTGCAGTGCTACCAGCCCAGTGGCCCCTCTCCTGCAGGCACAGCTGGATGCCAGGGCTCGCTGGTGCTGCCTCCTCACCCTCCTTATCATGCTGCGCTCAGTGCCAGGGCTGTGGCTGCCTGCTGTCTGCACCTTGCCAGCTTGGCACGGTCACCCCTAGGCCTTCACAGGCTTTTCCCAGCACACACGAGGTGGCTCTGAGAGCAGAAGCAATGCTCCCATGGATGCCCCAGTGAACTCAGCGCCCTGTGCGGCAGCCTGGGTCCAGGTGTTGGTCCAGGAGCAGGGGATGGCTCAGTGCTGGCAGCGACAGCCCCTGAGTGCACCACAGGCTCCAGCTCCCTCCTGCCAGCAGCCTGGATCACCGCTGCTGGCCCCCATGCTGCATGGCCCCAAAGGAAACACATGCCCAGGGCATCACCCCAGTGCAAGAGCCCAGGAAAACCAGCAGGGCAGCTGGGGCTAGCCACTGGCATCACTCCTCACCCCAGCACTTCGTACCAACAGTGTGAGCTTGAAACAGGGTTGCTCTGGGCACTGTGCCGGGGAGGCCAGGACTTTTAGATCAGGCTCTGGCTTTGTCCACTTCTGTTTGATGGTTAAAAAGCCCCAGTGCTACTAAACTGAGCAAAAGGGGACAGGCTCATCTCCATCTCCCTGGTGAAGAGAAGACCTACCCGGGGCATTTGTCACCGGGAGGCTTTCGTCCTCGTAGGGATGCTGCTATCACGGCAATTTCACACTTCTGCGCAAGGAAATGGCTCTCTGGGAACATGACACTGTGGTCAGGGCGAGCCCCTGGGCTGTTGAGGAGGAGATGAGCCTCCTCCCACCACCAAAATCTCAGCAGCACCCGGCACCCTGAGAGCTCTGCCAAAATGATGGCTGCCACCACCGCAGGGCTGGGAGCCGGACAGGGCTCCTGGCATGGCGCTCACAGGAGCAATGCTGTGGTTTTCCGGGAGCCTGTGCAAGCCGTGCTGGAAAATGCAACTTCCAAGGGGTGAATCGTGAGGCTTTGCCTTTGCTCACTGGGGCACACGGGGCTGGGCTGGCATGGGTGCCTTTGCCACAGGGAACGGCTGTTGGGGAGAGCCCGTGTGGGTACCATGGCCCCCGTGGGGCTCTGGGAGCCTCCTGGTGTCACCACTTCTGCATCCATCCACCAAAGCAGTGGCTGGCAGATACGTGACCGGCCGTCCCTGCTGCTGGCACAGCCCAAATGTGGAACGAGTGGTACCACGGGATGTGGCTCATCTCCCTTGATGGAAAGGATGGATCTAGCGCCCTTCTCCAGCTCCTGCTTACCCTTCTTCTGGATGATGACCCTAAGAAGGGGGTTGGCAGAAGACAGGGCTTTGTGGTAGTTGTCATTGTTGTTGATGGGCAGGAGGTCGCCATGGATGTCCGTGTAGCCCAGGAGCACGTCCACACGCGGGATCTGGTGCACCGTCTGCAGCAGGTGGTAGAAGTCCTGGAAGCTGCCAGCGCCGGAGCGCTTCATGGCGAAGCGGCGAAATTCGGCATCAAACTGTGGAGGAGGAAGAGGGTGAGACTGGGCAGGGCTGACTTGGGCTGGTGGGACTGATGCAGGCAGGGCACTGCACAGAGCTGCCCCGGGGCAGGCAGAGCCCCGGCAGCACCAAGGCAGCGGAGCCTGTCAGCCAGAGCCCATCCCAAAAGCAAACCAACAGGAGTGGAGCCGTTTTCCTGCCCAAACACCGAAGCGACAGGGTGGAGAGGTGCCCACGCGGCAGAGGAAGGACTCCCCAGCCGAACCACCAGCAGCAGCGGGCACTGTGCCGTCCTTCCCCGCAACACGGGCGCTGCCGTAGCACCTGGTGAGCAACAGCGTTAATTATTGCCTCCCTCAGTCACGACGAAGAGGAAGCCAATTAAGAACAGGCTGAGGAACGCTGCGAGGCTCTGGCTGCCCGCAGCCTGGCTGCGGGGCCCCGGGAAGGAGGGCACTGCGCAGCCCGCCGGGCATCCCGGGCAGGCCAGGGCACATCTGGGCGAGCGCACAGCTGGACAGGGGTGCAGCAGGGGAGTGCGCACAGCTGGGTGAGCACAGGGGGTGGGTGGACACAGCTGAGCACGGGTGCACATGTGGGTGAGGACACACATCTGGGCAAGAGTGCTCCAGGTGAGCACACATCCGGGGGGGAGACCACACCTGGGTGAGCGCGCAGCCAGTCGAGCGCACACATCTGGGCACACGGCAGGGGGTCCATCCCTTGCTGGGGGTGCACATCTGGGGGACGGCATAGCCAGGGATGCGCGTGCCCTGGGATGTGCACATCTGAGCGAGGCGCGCACCCGGGTT